GCTACTCGCTCAGCTACGTCGCCCGGAAATCACCATTCCCACCAGGTAGCAGTGTCGACTTATTAATCGACGGCTTCTAGCTGAATAAGAGGGGTGAACCTGTGAACTAAACTGTGTTGATGGAGTGTCCCCGAAATTTTAGGAGTTACTGTTGAGGTGGAGCTGAAGGTTTTCACCTGGTGCAACAAAAGGAGTTTCCGACTTTTGCGGGTGTAGTTTTACGAGTTTCCGATGGAGGAGGGAGCTGTCCAGCGGTCAGTAGGCGAGCTCGTTAAAGCTCCTCTGACTAGAAGCGTACGCACTCCTATCACTGCGGATTCTCCTAGTTAGTTAAGCAGCAACAAAGCGGTTCTGGGTAACCTGAAGCAGCCGCAAGATGGGTGAACGCCTGCACGGCCAGCTGGCAGGGGTACCAGAGTATTTTACACTTGGGTAATAGCTTGGCAGAGATCGACGGCGTATGATGCGCATTGACCCTGATCGACGGCCAAAACATCATGCCGAGGCGGTGGACTCAGGTAAACCCTTCTATAGAGGGTTCAGTTCATGCGTATAGCTGGTGGAGAAACCGTGGGGGCGCTGCTAAAGGACGCCGTGACGCCTGGGCGTTTTTACGGGTAGCTGTAAAGTAGAGTTACGGTATTTGCTAAGTACCGAATGGTTCCGACATTTTCGGTGGGTTTGAGGAGCAGTTCAAGAGTTAACAGTTGGAGTTGTGCCCGCTATCTTCACGGGTACGAGCGACATCGACTGACATTCGCGGAGTGTTTTTGGTTGTATGGAGCGGAGGGAGAGCAGTAGCTGTTTTGGTTCTTCCCGATTTTTTCGGCGTGTACGGACAAAGAAGCTGATGTAGCTGGCGTCATTCGACCCCGGGTTTCGTTCGAGGTTTTTTCACTGGAGCAGGGTTCGTACAGATTACAGGTCATCGCCATCCTCGTCTTCCTCTCGTCACTACCCGCTACCACCTCAATTCTCAATTCGCGTACTAGTCTGAACACGACCCCGCCGTCTCCATCCGAATCGACAGCAGCAGTATCGAAGTGAGAAGTTTTTGCAGTAGTACTGTTGGAGCTTTGTTGGGGCCAGCTCGCAAGCAGTGTTTGACTTCTGAAGAAATTTTGAGTTCGTGTGGGAGTCTTCTGGAGCAGTCTTTGCGGAATTTCAAGAAATTTGAAGCGGTTTACCATGAAGACGCTTTACCTGGTGCGGATTTTGGAGTCCTCCTGATTCGCGTTTTAAGTGGCTGGGATATATTTCAACAGCATCTTCAAAGCTGAGTACGAGACTTTTAAGCAGCAGCGTGGGATTCTTTCGATTATCGTAGAGCGTTGGGTGTCCTGGGTTCTACGTGGGAAATTGGGAGCTGTTTCATCTTGGAGGGGGGAGAAGTGCAGCTTTGCTGCAATTTTTCGTCTGACCCTTCGGCGTGTTCCATCATCCATCTTCGAGCAGCATTCATCACCGTTACGCTTCCGTGCCTAATTTCGTCACTTCATTGATGGAGTTCGCTGACTTTCGTGGGACACGGACGCGTGCTCTCGCACGTGACTCGAACGACCTCGCGTTTGATGAACGGGTTCTTCCTTTCATCGACCATCACGTTATTCGCCAGTCATTATAATGGAAGATAATCATCTGCCAGGCGCCATCATCGATCAACAACGTTACTGTTTACTGTCCAAGAGGAGTTTTCGCCTGTACCCGTTCGGTCAGCTGAATTGTTCGACCATTTTCGACGACTGAGATTAAAAGCGATCGTTTTGACGCTTTCTGACCATCGATCGCAGTTCGACTTGAAGACCTCGTCATGCCGGCGTAATCATTACGCTTGTTACAGGGCTGAAGACCTACAGTCACTTCGGTGATTAACTTAGATAAAAGGTTCGACCTCGATAAAGGGAGTGCCTTCCTTTAGAAGGTGGGAGAGTGTAAGGAATTACGATTCCTTAGTAGGGCTTGCCACAGCGAGTACACGCAAACCTCTCGGTTCCGCAGGCTCGGCCCTTGGTTCTCGCGCCAAACCAGCCCCTGTCGACCTTTTCGGCCCCAACCTGATTCGCCCCGAACCCATTTTGACCCCGTCAACCTCGGGACTATCGTGCCCTTGACTGGTCCAACCTTCGACATTCAACCTGGTCAACTCATACCTATATATTGCCTAGGCCTCATTATTCTAGAGGATTCTGTAATCACTTTCCCCTATAGTATTCTGCGCTATTCTCTGAGTTATAATTCATAACACATTTCATTACAGCAAGTACTTTTCGGCATGTTTGTTTGACTTTTCAACAGAGTGTTGACTCACGCGTTGATCTCTGTCAATAATTTTCAACACTGTCAGTGGAGCTTCGCTTTGGAAGGCCTGGCATTGCTTCGGAAAGTCGGTTTGGTTTCAAAACTTAGATTTCGACCAACCGTGTTTCGGCATGTCGAGGCTCGGATTCGGTGCCAAAGGCTTCGCTCACGCATTCCCAAAAGAGCAACATCTCGAACTAGCAGCCCAGTTTGACTCATGCCCTTCCGAACCAGCAACCCGCTTTGACTCATGGTTTACCGAACCAGCAACAAAGTTTGACCCTGTGCTTTCTTATCAGGTGGACTCTATTTCTGGCCTTGCGAGACTAGACCTATAATTAGCCCATTGCGATCTCACTCATCCAACTCAACCAGCATTCCAACTGTCTTCTGCTCTACAAGATTTCAAGTTAGTCCATGCACTAGTGCAGCAGCAGCAATAGCAGCTCAAGAACCCACCCGATTTCCGTCGTACATTTTATTTTTCTCCTGCACGGCATTCGCTATGGCGTTCAGAGCCCTCGTCCTCGCCTGCATCCTTCTCCTCGCGGCGAGGTCCGCCTTGGCGCAGCGCATCCCAAAAATTAGGGTGGCAAAATGATACCCCCAAGACTGCCGCAGGTAACCTGAGGGTTTCGTGCTGGGGGGTAACCCTGGGGCTTCCGACTGAGTGACCTCGGGGAAACCGACGGTCAAAATGCCTTTCGATGTGACCCGTGGGAAACCCACGAAGTCACACCTTTCCGAAACCTTCGGGTTACCCTCACGTGTCATCAGGGCTAGGTGGGGGGAACGTGAGGGCATCCCTTTTCCGAGGCGCGTCCTTGATACAAGCCAGTCGATACGCGTACAGTAATAATACACCTGAATAGTAATTAAATGCTCTCATACAAAAATTATATTGGTACATTCCATTCGTGTTCTTCTCCAATGCTCATTTGCCAGTAGCAGAATCGACAGATTTTACAGGTTTACAGCAAAAAATATTGATAATAAATACAGATTTTAGTCAACAGGTTTACAACATTTCAGTATTCAAATTTCTGACCTGTTATTGATAATACATACACCACAAATATTTCGGACTGGAACGAATGATTCGTAACTCCGTGGAGGTGACATTCACCAAACTTAGTACACATAATCTGTACAGTAAGGATGGAAACAGAAAGCAATAAGCAAAACTGCTAAAAAAGAGAAAAGACAGGGAAAGGAAAAATAAACAAAACCAGTTTATGCTTCTTACAGTTAGGCAGTCAGAGCCCGGACCAGAGAAACGCTTCACAAAAAGAGTGTTGGCGGGACACAACCCGAACCTCCGGCAGGATAAGAGACATCGCAAGTTCGCAGGCTGCTGTGATGAAACAAGACGAAAAAACAGGCATACACAGGTATGCAATGGCAAACCGCGAAGATGTGCCTTACCCTTCATCGTAAATGGCAGTGAGCCACTGTCGAAAACGCGACTAGTATCAGCCAAATTAATCACGTGCCATCACCTGAACGACAGAGGTCCAAATTTATGAAAGAACCTTTGCCTTCGTCCTGGAAAAACGAAAAGCGGGAATAAGACACGGTTTGAAGTGACAAAACGCCATAACACGAATGCCAACGTCCGACCAAAGACCATGCAAGAATGGGAGTTGTGACCGGGACAAAACCACAAACGGGGAATAAAAAATATGAACCAGGCTCGGGTACGGGTCGACGCGCAGAGTTGTACCTAGGGTATACGCACAGATACGACATCGATAAGCTGACCGTCCGAGGGCCGCGGGCTTGGGTATCTGAGAGAAACAAAGAAGATAGTATAGCGTTAATTCACGAATTGTGACAGGAGGGGAGCGGCTAACTGGCACGCGTTGAAAGAAATCGAGCATGAAAAGCAGGGATGCTAACACGAAGTGACGCGTTCACCCTAACCTGGTCGCCGTGCCTGATGTGAACGGTGCATCGCTAAGGAAGAAAGGTGGAAACTGGCGTGAGAAACAATGAATGGAAGGATTGAGGATTGAGTTCAGTTTAAGTCCAGTGAGAGCAGTTAGATTAGCCCAACGGAGAACTTGGGTTTGGTGTCGTGTTCCGAGATTCGAGTCTGTGTATTCGTTGCGTAGCGCTGTACGTTGAACACCATATGTCGCATGCATATTGAGCCGATATTTTGTAACAAGGCCTTAGATTTCGACTTTCAGACTGAACATTGTCGTTTGAAGTCGCCTAGCAGAACGCACCCCACCTTCGTTCTGTCCTGACCAGACTTGTGATTTCGCATGAGTTGGCAGCCGAAGAATAGGAGAAAACGCTGGTGTGCTCTCATTGGTCAGCTGTTGGAAGACCGAACCCATCAATATCGTACGCGTAAAAGCGGCCCCGTCTAGAGTCATACCAGTTTGATCATTTATGTCTAACTAGTTTTCCACTTCGCTGTACACGCGTGTATGCAATTGGCGGCACAACTCCAGGCCTGGGCTTCGCACCTTGCTATTGGCCAGCACGAACTGATGATTTTGAGTCCAAAATCAGCTTGGTAAGCAGATCCTGATTGGCTGTCAAGTTTCGTTGCGAGGGGTAGCGAATTATTTTGCCTAGGTAACAGCTTCGCCTTGCGCACAGGTTTCTCCTGGCACTCTTGGGGGGAACAATGGGGCATCCTGGCGTAGGACACCTGTGGGTATCCCTCGCTCCCAAGGTCGCTTTGCCTTAGCAGAATTTTGGGATGCGTGGTCCGCCTGGCGGAGGTCTTCCCGGCGGTCAGGGACCAGGGGGGCCGCGCGGAGGGCCTGGCGGTTCCGGCGGGCCTGGCGGACCTGGCGGTGAGCCGCGCGGTCCTCCGCTGAACCTGACGGTCGTCGGGAATCTGACGGCCGATATTGGCGCGCGACTGGCCAATTGCTCCGAGGACCAGAAGGTTCTTGACGGCCGCTTCCACCTTGCCATCTTTAAGTGAGCTTCCCTGCCTTCCCTGTTCCCCCCCCCCAAATAAAACCCTTATCCGTGATGCACTTTCCTGCATCAGAGTGGCTTTCGCGCGCACCCCTCCCCTCCATTCGCACCAACCTAGCACCCGTCGTAGCAACTCCTTTGATCTCGAGCTCATTGCGCTTCCGTCCCCCCCCCCCCCCCCCCCCGCGCCTTTCCCCAGAAACTCCTCTGGCAGCTACAACCTGCTGGTCCACGCGCTCCTCGTCGACGCCGCCGGCAGTCCGCCCGACTCGCTCGCGATCGTGCAGGGCGCCGCGTGCGACGCTGCCGCCACGGCTGTCCTCTCGCTACCTGTGGCGGCGTCCGACTGGCAGCAGCGCGCGGGCTGGTGGCTGCTGCACGCGGAGGCGCGGCTCGACGCGTTCCTCGAGAATGCCGACGCCGCCACCGTCGACGCGCTGCTCGCCGCCCTCCCCAACGCCTCGCTTCCCCGCAACAGCGGCCAGGGCAGCGGGAATGGCAGTGCGCGGGGCGCGGGGGGCGCGCGGAACGGGCAGGGCGGGAGGCGCATGGGGCTGGGGATGGGGCGGGAGCTGCTGATGCGCGCAATGGGCAAGCAGGCGGGGAAGAAGCAGGGCGGGCAGCAGCAGGGGGGAGCGCAGCAGCCGCCTGCAGGTGGCTTTTCAGGTGGATTTCCAGGTGGCAATGGCGGAGTGAACAGCACAGTGAGCGGGTATGCTGTGCTGGCTGGCAGCAGCGCAGCAGGTGTGACGTGGGGCGGGCAGCTCATGGGGGCCAAGGTGCCTGCTGCCGCTGCTGCTTGACATCCTGCCGTCCATGTGGGGTTTGGCTTGGTACAGCTGTAACGTGATACAAGCTCCTCAGGCTGATGCTGCTGCTGAGCTGGGTACGGTGCTTCAAGGAAGAGCGGGAGTTGAGGGCTTCTCGTCCTCTTGCCTAGGGGCCGTGCTTTGTCTCATGTTTGAAGTAGGCTAGTAGGTAAGAGCATCAGGGGCAGGAGTGCTGGCAATTCCACAACTGACTTGCCAGTCTTCCTACCCCTGATTGTTTGATATGAGGAGTGTTTTGCCGTCTGTTTTATGTGGAAGTAACCATGCCATTCCACTGTTTGTGCTCCGTTTGACTAACGCTGCCGAATGAACCAAGCTGCTGCCCACGAAGCGATGACTGCGAGGGGCTGGCTTGCGCTGTGACTCTTGGGCCGTTCAACAGATGCCCGTCCCTTGACTAGCCTATCGAGCTCCGTATCTCTGCCCGACTTAAGCTCTTCACATCAAACAACCATCTGCTCCCCCCACTCATCCTTCCCAACCCCTCCACATCAACCCCCTTCAGCACATCAGTAACTGCCTGCCTGTACCACTGGTGGCTGCACTTTAACATGTTTGGAGGAAACCCTCTTGCACCATCACTGCTGCGGTGGTCTCACAAGCACCAAAACCCCTTCTTCCCTCTCCCTCCCTACCTTCTCTTCAGGGCATCGGTGATGGATTGCCGCTAGCAGCGGTGGTAACCACCCCGGAGATCGCAGCGGTGATGGCGCAGCGGCTGCACTTCAACACATTCGGCGGCAACCCTGTGAGCTGCGCTGGTGGCAGGGCGGTGCTGCGGATCATCGAGGGTATGGCCAAGGCATGAGGGTATGGCCAAGGTATGCGGTTATGGCCAAGGCATGTGGGTATGGCCCAGGTATGAGGGTATGGCCAAGGTATGAGGGCATGGCCAAGGCATGAGGGTATGGCCAAGGTATGAGTAGACCTGAAGAACCGAATACAAATTCGAGTTCGAGTTCAATATTCGAATATATGTCGAATATTACTCTTCAGCATATTTGTTCGAGTTGTGTTTGGAATTCGAATATGAATTCGATTCGAATAGGGTCGAATCCGAATCGAATACGAGTGCACTCGAGTATTGGGCGTATGGCCTTTTTCAAGGATTGTGAACTTCCCCTTGGAGTTTATTGCCCGTTTTTTGGGTGTTGTCATGCTTGCAGGTTTGCACCAGAAAATGGACCGGTTGTACAAGAGGCAAATGCAGTCTTTTAGTAGCATTGCGTGGCTCCAAGGGGCCATTAGAGTTTGGGGGGTTTCCAATTGGGCACGCATCATGGATGCAGCAACATTGGCTTGCCCACACAACCCTATGAAAGGATTTGATGGAGCATATGCAAGTTGGAAATTTGTGGCGCTCGAATCCAGATGGAAAATTGTCATTTTATTGCAATCTACCGTATTTCAAGCAAGAACATAAAGGAGACTAGACATCATCTAAGAGTCCGAACTAAGGCATTACAAACCACACTCTGGCTTCATACCCTCGAGAATCATCCAAGATCGGAGGCAAATACAAGCGCGAATAGTCCTAGGGTCCAAACTATGGCGGAAATCCGTGATCACATGCCGTGCAATAGAGAATGAGCGCTCGGAATCCGCGGAAGTTCCCGGTATAGCTAAGTAGTCTCGCGCCATGCGAGCGACTACCGGGTAGAGAGGTGCGTGCACCCTCCACCAATCCGAGAAAGAAAGCATCTTGCCATCATCCCCGGCACTCAATCTCTCTTTGCTTAAGTAATCCTCCAATTGTGTATTCTTCTCCGTGGGCTCCCCTTGCTTCCTACAATGAAAAATAGCTCCAAAAAGGGTGGATGTATTCGGTGGAGGCTCTTCAAGCCCACCGGTTGCGGAGCCGCTCCCGGTAACTTGCCTTTCATTGGGCCCCGGACCTTCGTACTCCATAAAAACCTTGGCAATATTATCATGCAAGTCCTTGGTTTTTGCGTGTCAGCTCCCCAAGCTCTCCCCCTCGGCGTAGTACTCAAGGTTGAATCGTGGGTCCAAGATAGTCGCACTTGTGTACTCTTCCGACGTTCGGTTGTAGTACTCACGGAGCTTCGTTAGCCCCTCCTTGCACGCCCTCCAAAACTCTCCCTTCTCCGCCACCCGAGCCTCGAAATGATCCATTAAGTGATTCATGCTTGGCACACACAAGGATAGACTGGGATAAGAATTTCCCTCTAGCATGTCTTGTGCCTCGGCAAATGGCTCTAGAAGCTTTTCCACTCGGCCGAGGCAATCCCACTCCTCCGCCTTCATCCGAAGTTCTCTCTCAACATCTTCCTCTACATCTGCAACCAAGTATGCAACTATAGCTCACGAAGAGTTCTAGCCCGATTCAACAAAAAATGGGCACTTCCCCAACGAGTTGGAGTGTCATTTGCAAGAGCCGCAAGCTTCTCAAGACCCTTCTCCTTGCACCTTGTCCAAAACTTACCCTTTCTCAAAGTGGAGCCTTTGAGATGTGTTGCAAACGCTCGAATCTTCTCAAGAGCCCCCTTGAGCGGCTCCACCTTCAAGATGACTTCTACCACAAGGTGGATGACATGATTAACACACCTCATGTGCCTCTTGGCCGGAAATCCCTTCTCCAACCCCAAGAAGTTAATGAAACGGTTGTTGTTGGAGGCGTTATCCAACATGATCGCCATCACCTTGTCACCCAATCCCCAATCCTCATAAACACACTTGACAAAGGAGTTATTGATGGCCTCCCCCGTGTGATGCCGTTGGAATTGCTTGAAATCGATCAAAATGGATTTGGATGGAAAATTTGCATCAAGCCAATGACATGTGATTGCCATATAGGCGTGATTGGTGGGAGCGGTCCAAATGTCAAGCATGAATGACAACTTGGATGGGGTACCCAAGAGAAGGCCCTTAATCTTACCCATCCAAGTGTCATGCATGTCTCGGATGTCATTGGCGAGGGTAACACGGCTAGGGAGAGGTGCCTTTGGGTTGAGCCATTCTATGTAAGCTCGGAAGTCCTTGTCATCAATCAAGTTGAATGGAAGGTATGAGGGTATGGCCAAGGCATGAGGGTATGGCCCAGGTATGAGGGTATGGCCAAGGTATGAGGGTATGGCCAAGGTATGAGGGTATGGCCAAGGCATGAGGGTATGGCCAAGGCATGAGGGTATGGCCCAAGTATGAGGGTATGGCCAAGGTATGCGGGTATGGCCAAGGTATGAGGGTATGGCCCAGGAATGAGGGTATGGCCAAGGTATGAGGGTATGGCCAAGGTATGCAGGTATGGCCAAGGCATGTGGGTATGGCCCAGGTATGAGGGTATGGCCCAGGTATGAGGGTATGGCCAAGGCATGAGGGTATGGCCAAGGCATGAGGGTATGGCCCAGGTATGAGGGTATGGCCAAGGTATGAGGGTATGGCCAAGGTATGAAGGTATTGCCAAGGCATGTGGGTATGGCCCAGGTATGAGGGTATGGGCCAGGTATGAGGGTATGGCCAAGGCATGAGGGTATGGCCGAGGCATGAGGGTATGGCCAAGGCGTGAGGGTATGGCCAAGGTATGATTTGATACGAGCAGCGAGGGGTGTGCATTGCCTATGACGAGGTTTGAGTGTTCGAAGAGGGAAGGAAGGGGGAGGAGGGGGGAGTTTTAGGGTAGGGGGGGATGGGAGGGGAGTGACTTGAGGCATGGTTAATATGTGCCAGGTACGAGCTGAGAGGGGGTTTGCTCTCCCATCAGCAAACCCCATCAGCAAACCCCATCTCACCCATCCCTTCTCCCCACCTTTCCCATCCCTCCCGCTTCAGCCTTTTGTGTTAGTAATGCTGCCTTTGGTTGAATGAAGCTTATCTTCGCCGTTCCTCCGCACCTCTCCCACAAGACATCGGCAACGGCTTGCCACTAGCAGCGGTGGTAACCACCCCGGAGATTGCAGTGGTGATGGCACAGCGGCTGCACTTCAACACGTTCAGCTGCAACCCTGTGAGCTGCGCGGGTGGCAGGGCGGTGCTGCGGATCATCGAGGTGGAGGGGCAGGCACGAGGTGGAGTGGCAGGCACGAGGTGGAGTGGCAGGCACGGGGTGGAGTGGCAGGCACGGGGTGGAGTGGCAGGCACGGGGTGGAGTGGCAGGCACGAGGTGGAGTGGCAGGCACGAGGTGGAGTGGGTTTGTGATTGCGCGGAGGTGGGGAGCAAGGCCTCTTGGAACGAGGGTAGCAAGGCAGGGCACTTTCATTCATTGTTCGATGCATGGGTTTTAAGCAAGGCTGGCAGGGCTTCAGAGGATGGTTGTGCACTTTCCACTGCTCTGCCTTGGGCCATCCTTTGACTGCTGCTGAGTAAGGGAGGTTGCCAAGGAAAGAAGCCTCCTCTTTTTTCTATGTTCGTCCCCTCATTCATCGCGTGTTTGCCCCCTCATTCATCGCGTGTTCGCCCCCTCATTCATCGCGTGTTTGCCCCCTCATTCATCGCGTGTTCGCCCCCTCATTCATCGCGTGTTCGCCCCCTCATTCATCGCGTGTTCGCCCCCTCATTCATCGCGTGTTCGCCCCCTCATTCACCGCGTGTTCGCCCCCTCATTCACCGCGTGTTCGCCCCCTCATTCATCGCGTGTTCGCCCCCTCATTCATCGCGTGTTCGCCCCCTCATTCATCGCGTGTTCGCCCCCTCATTCACCGCGTGTTCGCCCCCTCATTCATCGCGTGTTCGCCCCCTCATTCATCGCGTGTTCGTCCCCTCATTTATCGTGTGTTCGTCCCCTCATTCATCGCGTGTGCAGCAGACCTGGGAGTGCTGGTGGGCAAGGGCGGGTACCAGGGGAATGTGTTCCGCATCAAACCACCCATGTGCTTCACCAAGGCTGATGCAGGCACGGACCTGCTGAGGTTGATGTAGGTACGGACCAACCAACACTGATGCAGGTAAAGACCTGCCACTGCCGATGCAGGCATGGACGTAATAATGCTGATGCAGGACTGAGATTGGAGTTGCCCCATCCACACACAGTCCTCTTAATTCCATCTAAGCACATGGTGCACTGCGCAGACGGGTAGGAAGTTTGGGTGCAGTGCAGCTGACATGCAGGTGTGTGATTATCCTGCCCTTCTCAGCCTATTCATATAGTACCACATCTACACTCAACTTCTCTGCGAACGC